CGGAAACTGCTCAAGCCTCTTATACAGCTAACAGGCCAATCGCTAGCCGCCACGTGGGAATAATTTAGAACTAGCCAATAGCGGGGAACGAATTTGCATACGGGTGGCGGGAACTCTTTTGCATCGTGCATTTCTCTTGCAACTTGAGCAATGCGCCCTGCAAAAGAAGCTGCAAAGAGGCGGGAAACTCGTCCCTGCACCGGGGTTCTCCTCTGCAATAGGAAACTCTCCCGTGCAATGAAGTTGCAACCTGGCGGGGATAATTCTGGTGCCGAAGCACGCACAAAATCATGCCTTTGGGTCATGACAGGCTTGTGTGTTAGATGTGTGTGTGTGTGATTTTCCAGGCACATTAAAACTTGCATATTAGGTGGATTAGAGAAATTAAAGATTGGTGTGTTTAAAGGTTAATAGATGGTAGACTTTAAAATAGTTGTAACCCTGTTACACAAGCTAATTCTTTTTTTCCTTAAACCAGTCAGTAGCACTAAATAAAAACTTAAAATAGTCAGGCCTCATTTAAAAATGCAGTCATTACTAGCTGAAAGCCATTTAAAGAATTAAGTTAACATGTGGAAAAACAACAGGAAGAGATGAGCAAAATTTACCCCCCCTCATTCCAGTTTATGATATCATGGGTCTCAAATTATTTTACCAAAGTTCACTCTAATCAGTTTTTGGTGAGTTGAACAACAAGCATGGTAAAGTTTTGCCCCAAATCTCATTTTCTTGCGAGCGTTAGAAAACTGAAAATGTGCCTTGGAATGAAAGATCAGAGAGAGATGAGTCATGTCATAGAACTGTTGTGAGATAGATAGGGTGTAAATAGTGCAAAGTTTCTTAAGCATGAAATCTATTATTAAGAAAATCATAATTTTAGATAATGACTTAAAGCAGGAAAGTGCAAAGTGAATATTAAAACTGCTGATTAACCGTGGATTTATTACGTTCAAAGCACTGACAAATTCTTATTTCCTTATTGTGTCTTTGAACTAGTGGTAAATGAGAATGTCAGTTTAGTGATCTCACGGCAGTTGCTGACAGATTTTTGTACTCACCTCCCAAACCTACCTGATAGCACAGCTAAAGAAATCTATCACTTCACCTTGGAAAAGATTCAGCCTAGAGTAATTTCATTTGAAGAACAGGTAAGACATAGTGATGATGTTTGGTTTTAACTTAAATACTGTGCTTGAAGCTTCTCACTAAAAGTAGATGCTCATATTTAGAGTGTTGTTTACTCCTGTATAGGCTAAAACTCTTCATTCAGTGAGAACTTGAGGTGTGCAAAGATGCAGAACTTGCCTCTTAATCAAGCATGTACTTCATGCACTACTAGAAATAGCTTCTTAAAGCAAGACAATAATCTTGTTATTATAGAAACCAGAGTCAGGCTGGAGCTCATTGTGTTGCATTTTTTTAACATTAACATGCTGGGCACACCATGGGAAGAGACATTTTTCTTTTTAAAGATATGTATTTAAAAGAGACGTGTAAATAGGAATTCAAAATCTACTTAGCTTTCTAGTGAAGAAGTTACTTTGAAATACCAGCTCTTCAGTTAGCTGCAGAATTTGGTCCAGTAGATGAGGACAAGAAATATTGATGCAAATCTTATGATAGGCAAAATTGTTGCCTTGCTTCACATTTACATTTCCCATTTTGGCTTTTTAATCCGCATACATTCAAATGCTTTTATGAACATGCTGATCGATATATAAAAATTGTTGTGTGTAAATTCAGTCCACCAGAGCAGAGTCTTTACTTTCTTGTTGCTTGTTGGTTTAGACCCTGGGTGTGCAATTGCCCATATGTTTGATCACCCACTTTAAATCGGAGACCTGTGGCCTAAATGTATTTGAATGCTTTTGACAGCATTGAAATCACAAGCACGGGCTAAAGGTGAATTATTTAGGCCGAGGCTTTTAAAAATGACTAGCAGCTTTTTTGCATGTGTTCATTTTTGAGAGCAGCACTTGATGCTCCAATCCCTCCATAGTGTTCTCAAGTTGGGAACTCAAAAATGAGTGTGCTCAGAATCATTGAGATGAGGCTTTTAAAACTTACTAATGCTTGGTAAAGCATTTTAAGATCTTCTGCTGGAAGGAGCTATATACGAGCAAGTTTTTCTTTTATATGAAGCAAGATTATCAGACCTTTTTGAAGGCTCTTGGGGGAGATGAGAAGAAGTAGATGGTGTGAGTATTAGTGGAAAATGTATTAGCTTTATAATATGCTGTTTGTTTTTAGGTTGCTTCTATAAGGCAACACCTTGCCTCCATTTATGAAAAGGAAGAAGACTGGAGAAACGCAGCCCAAGTGTTAGTTGGGATCCCCTTGGAAACCGGACAAAAGTAAATAGTATGATTAGATACAGTTTTTGTGCTGTGTGTCCTTCTGTCTTCTGATTGCTTCACTGGAGTTAGGAGCGTCTATTTTTTCTGTGTTTATTTCCCTAGATCTTCAGTAGTTTGAACCAGAGGCATAGCAATGTGAGAGGATTGAATTTAAACAGTTCTTTCTGCAATGTCAAAATAGAGCTCGTGACCTTTTACATTATCCATATCTGTTTCATAAACAGACTTTGCCAGAACAATCTCCACCTGTGAGGTTATTTCTCCTGCTTTGGCATGTTAGTTTTCATGTACTGTGGTGTTAAGTTGCTGAAGTATAGTGATATTAGCATCCTTTTACCAGACTGTTTTGAAATAAAACCACATTAAAACAATAGCATTTCCCCTCTCATTTGTTGAACCTCTTTTTCTCCATGTACATAGAAGAGGTTGCTAAGGGCTTTGTCCACATTAGTACCTTTTTGTAATTCCAAGACTGAAATGCTGCTACAAATTTCCTTTTCTACAGGGTGTCTTGACTTTCACAGCAAGTTCTCAATCCATTCAATAGAATTTATGAGATTGGGTTCATTCTCTTGCTCGTTGTGGGAGACCATTTTACATTAGCATGGATTGAGCCAACTATCAAGTAGACCTTTACGTTTCTAATGTTATTAGGACGAGAAGAGGGAACAAGCTTGGGAGAAGACGTAAACTGAAGAGCTGCTAAACACAGGAAGAATAAGAGAGAACCAAATGTTTGGAGCAGCTGTACTTAATATGGGGCAGTTGTTCTGAGAATGAAAGTGTTTTGTAAACAAGGCCTTTTAACCCTGATAACCATAAGATGATGCGTCATCCTATTCTTCTGGCTCTTAGCTCAAAAAGTGTAGTGGAACGTGGTATACTTCAGCTTGGTGTAGTCAGTCTCCTCATGATCAATATATCTCAGCAAAGCTGTGGAAATTATTTGGGATTTTTTCAGTGCGTGTACCCTGGGAAATTGGCAGTTAACTTGCATAAATGGATTTCTGTGTTACTTGTGATTTTTGTTTCTTCACAGACAATACAACGTGGATTATAAATTAGAGACCTACTTGAAAATTGCCAGACTGTACCTGGAGGATGATGACCCTGTTCAGGCAGAGGCTTACATTAATCGAGCTTCTCTGCTTCAAAATGAATCAACCAATGAACAGTTGCAAATCCATTATAAGGTGGTGTAACGTATTATAGTGCTTCCTCCCCTCCCAGGGAGAAATTTTTATACTGCACACAAACTTTGAGACACCGTAGATAAAATGTGAAACTGCACTTAAGCGCCTTGGGAGCCAGATTTTTAAAGTTATTTAAGGACCTAACTCCTCCTTTCTTTATTATACGAACAGTTTTTATCTGCATATCTCAGACCTGTTCCTAAGTCTTATTCCCTTAGACATGGACAAATGATCAGACGAGAACCAGTTAACAGCAGGTGGGAACTTACTACCTGGGCAGCTTGCACTGAAGGAAGCAGGGGTCAGTTTGCCCTGGTTCAGTTTTCACTTATGATGGGTTTATTGTGGGCACAAGAATAGTTGCCCTATGTCAGCTGTTCTGTGGTGAGTCCTCATCTCCTGTTTAATCTCTTTTAATGTGATCACTTGTCTGCAACCAAAGGGCCTAATGGATTTTGAAAATGTTATCTCAGCTTGAATATGTAGAGTGGTCACTATTATATAGTGGTCACTGCTCTAAAAATTATGGCTGGTGATGTGTGGGTACGTGTACATGTATACACATAATATTTAAGTAATGTGTATATCAGCTTAAATTTGTAGTGCATTTTTTAATCCTATTATGTGAAAACTGCTGTGTAAATTATCTACAATTGTAATTGATGCATTTTATACCTGTTGCAAGATTCAGCAATTTCTATACAGTTTTTCAAGTCTGTTGCTTTACTTTAATAGGACCATGACATTCTGATAATCTGTCCTTTCAAGTCTCCAAAGGAAAAAGGAGATTTGAACTCTTTCACAGTTTGCTTGAGACTGTAGTAGTACTTCATAGCTCACTTAAGTGATTTTTATGTCACTTTGTTGTACAGCAGCTAATGTATGATCACTTGTCTGCTTCCAAAGTGTTTAATTGCTTTTGAAAATGTTATCCCAGTTTGAGTCAGTAGACTTAAGATACGAGTCCTCAATTAAAATGATAAACGAGCTTCTCCAGTCACATTCAAGAACAGATTAAACGACCGCAATCAGATATAACAAGCCACACGGAAGAAAGTATAAAAAAAACAAAAACCTTATACCTCCTCAGGGTTTATCAGATTATCTGCCAAGATGTACCCAAGTGGGGTGACAGTATCTGCCAAGATGAACATGGCTTGGTGTATCTAAATAGTACCAGTGCCAAGCAGGTGCAGAAGGGCATAAAATTCTAGGTTGTAAAGGAACCAGACAATGACATGTATGTTTTGTGTGGGGTTTGTTTGTTTGATAACCTAGACCTGAATTTAAAACCTCAGTTATGAAACTGAATATTGACTTTGTCAAAAGGGAGGAATTGTGAGGGGAGGGGAAACTGAAAAATAAAGTAAAGTAACACTCAGAAAGAGGGAGAACAACAACAACCTAGTTTTGGTACAGCTCATTGAAAATACAGTTCTTGATGTGAAAGGAAAATGTCACTTTAACAAAGGAAATAATTTGTACTACATTTTATCTATGCTTTTATACTCAATTTTACTTCTGCCATTTAAACACTAGCATTAGGTTGCCACTGCCCACCTCCCTCCAGCTCAAATATGACCCATCCACCACCAGATTACTAGGAAAAATAAAAAATACTAGGAAAAAACAGGTTACTAGGAAATACAAATTTCCCTTCTGTTTTTGAAAGTCAAACCCTGAGTCCCCCAGGGCTTGGTCCTCAGGCCCGTACTGTTCAATTTCTTTATCAGCAACTTGGATGAAGGGGTGAAAAGCACCCTGTTCAAATTCACTGACGACACCAAGATTTGGAGCAAGGTGGGCACGTTAGCAGGGAGGGACAGGATAGAACTGGATCTGGACAGGTTACAGGGGTGGGCAAATGTGAATAAGATGGAATTCAATACTGACAAGTGCAGGGTACTACACTTGGGCAGGAAGAACCAGCAGTATACCTATAGGCTGGGGAATTCCCATCTTGAAAACACAGTGGCAGAAAGAGATCTTGGAGTCATCGATTCCAAAACGAATATGAGCCACCAATGTGAGGACACTGTCAGCAAGGCTAACCACACCCTGTCATGTATCCACAGATGCATCACAAGCAGGTCCAAGGAGGTGATCCTTCCCCTCTATGTGACACTGGTCAGGCCACGGTTGGAGTACTGCATCCAGTTCTGGGTGCCACACTTCAGGAGGGATGAGGCCACCATCGAGAGGGTCCAGAGGAGGGCCATTCGCATGATCTGGGGTCAGCAGGGCAGGCCCTACGAGGAGAGGCTGAGGAACTTGAACCTGTTCAGCTTTCACAAGAGAAGGCTGAGAGGGGATCTAGTGGCTGTCTATAAACTTGCTAGAGGGGATTGGGTGAGACCGTGTTCCCCCGAGCACACCCTGGAGTAACAAGGAACAACGGCCACAAGTTGTTTGAGAGTAGGTTCAGACTAGATATCAGGAGGCACTACTTCACAGTCAGGGTGGCCAGGATCTGGAACCAGCTTCCAAGGGAAGTAGTGCTGGCTCCTACCTTGGGGGTCTTTTTAAAAGGAGACTTGATAATTACCTATCTGGTGTCACTTGAGCTTAAACTTAGTAGGGGTCCTATGAGCCCTGTATTCATTCCTACCCAGGGCAGGGGGTCGGACTAGATGATCTGCTCAGGTCCCCTCGGACCCTACATCTATGAATCTGTATTTCCTACAGCTCTGCTATGAAAACGTTTTAAATAGGTATTGCAAAATAATTATTGACTTATATGATCAGTATAAGCAAATCTAAATTCCTAACTTCAGACTAATGTGGCTAACTCCCTTTCTCTGCATTTTATATATTGATTTATGGTACTTGTTCTTTTTCCAATGAGATGCAAAAGCAGGGTCTTGATCACCTCTGGTGAACGAAAGGTCTGTTATACTAAATACAGGTAGTGATGTTCCGGCCAAAAGACTAATTGGAACAAGAGTCAAGTCTACCTAATCCCAAGCTTCTTTTCTTATTGGATAGACACCCATCTTTACTTTTGTCCCATACTCTTAAGTACTTTTGCATTGCCCTCATCTGTGACATCTAATCTCAGAATTCACTGCACCTCAGTAATGAAATGATGGCTCTTAAGTGGTGGTTACTGCTCTAAAAATTATTGCTGGTGATGTGTGGGTGCGTGTACATGTATACACATAATATTAAAGTAACGTGTATATCAGTTCATATTTGTAATGCATTTTTTTTAATCCTCTGATATGACAGCTGCTGTTTAAATTATCTAATTGATGAATTGTACCCCTGTTGCAAGATTCAGCAATTTCTATACAG